GATATACAAGTTGTTCGGGTTTTTTCAAACTAAAAAAAAGAACATTAATTTCTTGACGACCTAATATGTTGCTGAAATTGTATTTTCTATCAAGTTATAGTAAAACTTTATTCTATAAGAAGCTATTCTAACAATGCGTGAAAATTTGATTTGTACACAGCAATTGATAATTTGGTATGCTAGATTATTGAAGCGTGTGTGATTCAAAGGACAATTGAGACTCGTAACAACAGGCTTGAAACTCCAAGTCAGAAAAGTAATTTAAATGTGGAGTTTATTATCTAGAAAATTATTATTGAATAGTTTACTAGTGCGATATATCAAATGATATATATATATATATATATATACACACACACTCATACATATATATATTTAAATTTGTGTCATCATACCAATGTTAACATCTTTTTATTCTACAACATCAACGCTGACGCCTTTCTGAAATTCACATTTTTAGTTTATCGATCAGTCAGATATTCAACATCTAAACCTGAAATCCTATCAATCTTCCTTCTTCATAGATGATCTGAATATCGAAAAAAAGCTTTCTTTCAAAAACTTTTTTAAAAATTATAATCCATGTATATTCAACACTAAAGACCAAACCTTAGAAATGTTTTGAAATTATTAACTATTTGTTTGTACACCAATATAAATGACTGACAAGAATTAAAAATACAAAACATATCCATCCTTTATGCGACATGTAATAAATAAATGACATTCAAATACAAAGACGTTTACGGACGATTCAACTTAAGTCATTATGAATCATTATTTTGGATATGTGCACGTACTAGGTGTACCTGTATAAGTAGTCTTTGTACCAGCATCTTTCACTTCAGTACCTATTACCTTAGCCACTTGGTCGGGCTTGCCCTAATACTAGCGTGTCGGACTATGGATCTGGGGATTCATGGTCCATCAGCTGAAAATTAGAGACGATTAGGTGCAATTAGCTTTTTTGTGCGGATTTTCTGAGACAAAACATCCCCACCACTATGATTCAGCGGTAAGTCTGAGGATTTAAACACTAAAAATTTGATTTATACTCGTGGTGGACATAACACAAATAGTCCATTGTGTAGCTTTGCCCTTAAAAACAAACTGAAACAAAAAACAACTAAAAAATTTAGCCATTTTAAAATGCATCTATTCTCAACATACAAAAATAAAAATCAAATTTTGAAACCTCGACTTATTTTGGACGCTTAAGTAAAGTATGTATTTTAATTTTAAGTGTTTATACGATTAAAAATATTAAACCATTTTTTCCAGATCTTGGCAACAAATGCAAGAGTTCAGATGATTGTGAATCAGCGACATCTGGTGCTTACTGTAAAAAACACAAACATACAACTATATGCGATTGTCGTGAAGGTTTCAAATCCTCAAAAAATAAACTCCGCTGTGAACCAAAGGAAATAGAAGGTAGGAGTAAAGTAGTTTAAGTAGTAGTTTATTTAATCATGTTGATTTATAATCACACATTTTGCGCACTACCGTATCGTTATGTTCAGATCAATATGAAATTAGTGCTAATACACACATAATAATTAAACTATTCCCAAAATTGTTTAATTTCGAAGTCTTAGACTACGAAATTAAACAATTTTTGATATACTAAGTTTATTTATTACATCTGCTATTGTGCGGCTATATAATGTGAAGAACTGAATAGTGGCCAATGATACTTTTTCTTCACTTCACCTATCCAGTGTATAGGTTTTTCTCATAATGAGTACAAAACTCATACCAACAGTATGTTTAACTCTTACATATAACACAAAAGTGGTCCTTTTTTCCGTAGGAGCAAAATGTAATCCTGTTTTACTCTTCATGAAGTAACATCCTCCGAATTTATTTCTCCGAATGTGTAATCATTTTTAGCCATCAATGCAGCTACCATAAGCAAAAGTGATAAATAAGTGAATAGTAATTTCCTTTTTCAATAGGTGGCTATACAAGTTAAAACTAATAAATAAATAAAGTAGTGTATAGTTTACCATTTATTGATGTCATATCAGGGTATACGTTCATTAAGATTTTCTGCTTTATCGGTAAAATGAAAGGTAATAAAAAGTTGTATCTATACCACAATACCTCCAATAACCCTTCGATTTGTTTCATGTAACGCTGACAGTTGTGAGCTTAATTTGGAAACTTGCAAGGAAGTTTTATAGTTATTACTCTGCAATATTTCGCCTTTCGGCTTCTTTAGGGCACAATCAACATACAACGACGTTGATAATTAGGGATAGACGGTTGAGTCTTATAATTTCGTTAGTTATTGCATGCAGGTTTTGTGTCTATTAATTAAATATGAAAGTTTGCACATTAGTAAATGCAGAACTTCTCCGAAGTAAAACAATGTTGTTTTCTATGTGTTTACATTATACAATGTCAGTAATAACTCTTAGGATCGTATATTTTATGTCCTGTATTATAGCTTAAAGTCTAAATTTCAAGGGTTTTTTTTTACATCAGCTTTAAGAAATCAACGATATTTCTACATGTGAAAAGCTGTCCTTTTAAAATGAACGTGGTTCGCTAAAGACAAACAACTATTGAACTAGTATGATTTCGCCAGCTGATTGTAAATGTATCATACCTATAGTATCAATAACTTAAACATGCATATATTTGTTTTTACCTGTCAATTATTGTTGATCCTTGTAATATACTAAAACCAAATCGATTGCACACCTTTCGTAAAATACACTTTTATAATTGGTCCTGTAGGGACATGCAGATGTTTAGGCTGGCTTACATGATCTTTCAAGTACCCTCTAGCTTAGAACCTTTGCAAAATTACTGTTACAAGTATAGGTTTCTATGAAGTTTTCAAATGTTAGATTTTTAAAGGTTTTAATAGGGCCATCGTCAGATTAAAATGGGATTAGTTAAAGAACTGACACGATAGCCCATTTCTGCTATTTCTGATTTCACTGTTGATTTATTTGGGACATCTTGTTACCCATTTGAGTGAGCTTGTATCATTAAGTATGGCAGTACTTAATAGTAGGGGTCGGGAAGAAACAAAATGGTGGCCATAAAAATCGCCTGTAAAATGTCTGAATATTACAGTGAATATTTCACAGTATTGGTTGAGCAAAAAGAAAGCTTATTGTACTTATAAGCCGCCTAAATCGCTATATACTTGTTTATGGACTGAATCAAAATTTCACTATCTCAACGAATTTTCAAAATACGTAAGTGAATTTTACAGAGAAGCGTACCACCCAATGGCACAGCGGTATGTCTCCGGACTTACAACGCTAGAAACCGAGTTTCGATACCCGTGGTGGGCAGAGCACACATAGCCCATTGTGTAGCTTTGTGCTTAACTTCAAACAAAGAAGCGTACATAAAAATTGACGAACCTTAATAATAACTAATAAAATAGTTAATAACCTTAACTAATAAAAAGGAAACAAACAAGTATAATAAAAAATGCTTAAATTTTATAAAGATAAGTAGGGATCAATATATACTTAACCTAGCTGGCTAGAGTAATGTAGAAAGTTTTAATGGTACAAATGGTATTGAAAGAAGAAAGTCAAACTACCAAAACTGAGTTACTTAAAATTAAAAAAACAAACTATTCCTACTTCAGCTCAGACGAACATAATTACAGCAATTTGCCGATGTAGGGATATAATTCTTTTTTTCAAATCATGTAACTCAGTTTTGTAGTTTTAACTTTCTTGTTTAGTGCTACATATCCACATAATCCTAAACATACAGCTGTAAATCCTTGAATGCTTGGAATAGCTAATAACAGGCGATGTTTCTTTAGTATCATGAACGTAAAAGATTCTTAAGGCCTTCGATAAACAAATATTGCTTCATGCACCTGTTTAGATCCTGATCAAATAAAGCACTTTTTCTATGGATGCTAAAAATAGCGATACGTTATCATACCCTCTGCTAAAATCCACGTTAACTACTGCTATATTTTGATATCTCTCAGAACATTGAAATGTCATTGGTGTTTTCTTTAAGCATTCCTAAAGGTTTTTAGAAGTAAAAATGCATTTTTGTACCATTACATTTAAGGGTCGTTAAATGACGTTAAATATAACATGTAATATACATTGTTTACAGTTCCTGCTGTACAGCTAAATATTTCTTCTGCTGGAGCTGTTTCTATAGGGAAAACGTGCAGCCGAGAAGATGAATGTCAAAAACGAGATCCTTATAGTACCTGTATAAACGGCAGGTGCCAGTGTATATCAAAAAGATCCTCATGTAATGCAAATAATACTGGTAAGTACATATTTATCGGTGATGATACTTTTGCTGGTAAGTTCCTACCTATCTAGTGGTTAGGGCGCTCGACTGTCAGTCAATCTGCGGGTCGTAGATTCCAATCCCCGTTCCACCAAAACATGCTCTCCTTTCAGCCGTGGGAGCGTTATAATTTTACTGTCCATCCCACTATTCGTTGGTAAAATAGTAGCCCAAGAGTAGTCGGTGTTGACTAGCTGCCTTCCCTCTAGTCTATCACTCTTAAATTAGGCCACATCAGCTTAAAGGAGGAAAACCCGTGTTAACTTTATACGTTACATCAGCTTGCAGGAGCAAATAACGATCTTAAGTGTATAGATCACATATGCTTGCAGGGAAAAAAACTGCCTTAACTGTCTAGGTAACATCAGCACACAGGGGCAAAACCCGTATTAACTTTATATGTCACATCAGCTTGCAGGGGCAAAAACGATCTTAACTTTATAGATAACGTTCTTAAGTGTATAGATCACATATGCTTGCAGGGGAAAACTGCCTTAACTGTCTAGGTAACATCAGCACACGGGGGCAAAACCCGTATTAACTTTATATGTCACATCAGCTTGCAGGGGCAAAAACGATCTTAACTGTATAGATAACATCAACTAGCCCCCATGCAGCTTTGCGCAAAATTCAAACTAAGTCTCCTATTCGGCGATGATAATAATAATTATAATTATGACGATGTTCGTGTGGTACATAAATTTTCATAGCAAGTTTTTAACTCAGTGTTACCTCTCAAACTGCTATAAATATTTCAGAATCCATTGAATAAACTTAGAATTTTAATGATTTAGACATATATTTATAGACATGAGATGATCAGTTATTTCCAAAACTAATTTTTTATTTTGCTTTCAACTTTCTATGTTTCATTAAAATATAAGCCAACAAATCAGCAATAGTTACAAACATCAGGTGTTTGATTTTGTTAGAGATTAAATCTGCTAACTTATTTTCTACAAGATTAGGCATTCAATATATTATCTGCGAACTTCTCAGTTCGCCATTTTCCAAATATGTAACTACTGTTTACTTAAGACCAAATAATACTGTTCTTAACCAATGTTTTTATGCCTCAGATTGAAAATCATGTGTGTATTTCAATTCATCTCAAAAATATTTGTTGTCAAAATTATTTTATTATTCTTAGCTCAAAAATTACTCTGATGTTGCAAATATTTTATTGTTATTTTAACTCATTTTTTCCAGGTTGTCACAAAGACACATTTCAGTGCAGAAGTGGTCAGTGTGTTTCTTGGTTCTTTGTGTGCGACGGACAGAAAAACTGTATTGATGGTAGTGACGAAGATGAATGCGTGCGTTACAGTGAGTAAACTTAATTAATTACATTAGAATAGCACAGAAATGCAAAAGGTTATCTGAGTAACGCTTTAGTCAATTTGTAAGACGAATGCTAGATTCACACACATATATATAGTAAGTCACTTATCGTTCGGTCCCTAGCCAAATAGTTAAGAAAAAAAAAATGGATCTCAGATGTAGGCATTTTGTAAAGGATGAGCTATGCTGGCTATTAAAGTTCTCCAATATGAATTTTCTAAATCTACACAGGTTACAAATGAAAAGTACACTTGGTTTGGTTTTTTGTCAAGCACAAAGATATACAACGGGTTATGCCCACCATGGCTATCATAACCCTATTTTTAGCGTCGTAAACCTACAGACTTATCGTTGAGTCACTGGGAACAAATTATGTTTGATAAGCTAAAGTGGTTATGAGCTACTAGGTCCCAAAGCCTAACTAACTCTCAGTGTTAATGAACAATAGTAAGCATAGCAGAATCATTACAATATTACATCTAATTTTTTTCTGACTTTGCAAGTAAAATATATTTACTACACATGTTTTGAATACAAGCCATAAAATTTAAAGAACTTTGATAGGCGGTTGTAACATGACTTTAATTTCTGTTGCTGAATGAATCCTTTAGCAAAGCTCTGCAACTTTGAAATTCTTGTTTTGTTGGACAGGAGATCTATGGGTGAACTTAATATTCCTAATTTTGTTTCCATTGAATCTTAGGAAGCTGTTTTGACTTGACAGAGATATCATTTTTTTATTAAAGATTTTATGTGGTTGATATTACTGCTCATTACTCATTGGATAGTCTTTTGGGAGCTGAGTTTTTTTGAGAAAACTGTATAAATTTCTCATGTAAATTACAAACAAATTTTATATTAAAGACATTGGTTTTGTACCAGAGACTGATACCTTTTGTACTTTTAACAACAAATATAACTAGTATAGAGAAAACTTATTTACGCATATAATGTATACAGTGAGCAAGGGTGCTGCAACACGGCTTTGAACATATCAAATTAAAAAGAGTATTTATGTTTTTATGTGAGCTACATAATAATCTTCAAGCCAAATACCACATTATTGAAAGTAACTTCCAATCTCTATGTATTTCACTATTTAAATAGTGAGGCAGCTCCATGTAATTATTAGTACATTAATATTTAAACGTAACATAGGTTTTTAACTATGAATGAATCAAAAATCATATGTTTGAAACAAGTATTAATGTAATCATGCTGTCGGTATTTTTTGGTTGTATTTTCTAGACTGTCCACGAGAAGCTTTTCAATGTAACGATGGGTCGTGTTTTTCTCGATCATCAGTGTGTAATGGCAAGTGGGAATGTCCAGATGGTAGTGATGAGGCCAGATGTTACAAAGGTAGGGGTTTGGTTTGTTTGTTGTTCAGAGCACTATCTGTACTGTGACCGCCACAAGGAGATGGACTGTACGATACATTGCAGTTTACGCTATTAACGAAGTTGTCAGGTGGAATAATGGGTCAGTAAAGCTGTTTTTGTTCCTGGAGCTATATTGTGTTACTTTATACATAACAAATATCATTGTAAGTGAAAAGAAACTCCGGAACTGGGGCATGAACTCAGGACGTTTGGCTAACATGGAGAATACTGTATCCAACTAACTATTCGAGAGTACAAACTATACTCTCGTCTCCCTTCACTATGTGTTCTTGTGATGGTCAGGCAATTAGTGGATTGATTTACCACCACCCAATCAGATCATAAGCGGCTAACTAGATTCACATATATATATTTATTAAAACTAATAGCAGAAACGCCGCCATACAGTTGGCTGTTTGTGCTAGTAATTAATAACCGTAATATTCATACCTCACTGAAAAAAATTTAGAAAAGTGTACATTTTCTAAAAAAAAAGATTTTTCTGGGAAGTATTGTGCTCTTTAGTCAAATGCAACTTATTGCATCAAAATGATTCAATGTACAGAGCTAAAAATTTTCAAACATTTGATTGATATAAACTGTAATGTTTTTATGTATTAAAAGTGGTACCGTTTACTCCAGTTTGTCAGTACCACATTTAAAAATTACTTCAATAAAGATATAATAAAACCCTCACGTACAGTCCTAGTAAAAGCTGTGTTCTTGATGTGAGGAGAGTACTTTTATTTAAAATTGTGTTCTATTATAAAGAAACGGTTGTTGCACATACTACAGTTATTTTTCTAATTCTCTGAATCTAGAACACCCAAAGAGTGAAATTTTTTATGGACTTTTGTTTGTGGTGACATTCAATAGATGGCGCAGGAACTATGGTTACATACGTAGGTAATGTTTTACACCCACGTCCAGTATTGTAAGATATTTAAATCATTATAAATCAATGAAAATAAACTTTCTAACAGTTCCGGGGTTGTTGTTTTTCATTCATCGGATTTTCACATACAATAATATTTGTTAGAAAATTTCTAAAGTTTGATAAAGCGTTCTCAACGTGTAAACTGAGCAAATTGGTTGTGGAACATTTATGTCCTAGCATAGTTTTTGTTTTTTTTTTATACGGGTGAAAGAGACAGAAAGACTTGCTATACTTATTGATAGGGTAATTGGTTATGACGATAAAAAAATAAACTTGCTATACATTTAATGACTAGAACACTGAATTTGTCTAGTATAAAGGGCTAACTAATGCTAGTATCCCTCGATTGGCAGAAAGCCAAGTAGTTGACAACGTCAAGATTAGAGCTTGATATCATTGGTTTTGGAGGGGCACTGTTGAACCTTTAAGCAAATTTTCATATGTCTCTGAAGAGAAATTTAACCGAATAATATAAGAGAGATTACACGCGTATCAGCTAATCTCTCATCCCCTCAAGGACCCGGAAATTTGTTTTTATTTCGCGCAAAGCTACACGAGGGCTATCTGCGCCAGCAGTCCTTAATTTAGAAGTGTAAGACTAGAGGGAAGGCAGCTAGACATCACCACCCACTCTTGGGCTACTCTTTTACCAACGAATAGTGGGATTGACGTCACTTATAACGCTCCCACGGCTGAAAGAACGAGCATGTTTGGTGTGACGGGAACTCGAACCCACGACCCGCAGATTGCGAGACGAGCCCCCTAACCATCTCTTAGCCCTCAAGGACCGGGAAGTTTAAGATTTCACACCTCTCATCCCCTCAAAGATCCGGAAGTTTAAGGTTTCACACTTCTCATCCCCTCAAGGACCGGGAAGTTTAATATTTTACATCTCTCAGCCCCTCAAGGACCGGGAAGTTTAATATTTCACACCTCTCATCCCCTCAGGGATCTGGAAGTTTAATATTTTACATCTCTCAGCCCCTCAAGGACCGGGAAGTTTAATATTTCACACCTCTCATCCCCACAAGGATCCGGAAGTTTAATATTTTACATCTCTCAGCCCCTCAAGGACCGGGAAGTTTAATATTTCACTAGTTTAGTTAGATTTCTGATTACAGAAGACTCCGCCTCTTCCTCCACATGTTACATAATATTTATATTGTTTTGCCTCTAACCCAAGACATAGAAGAGGCAAATTGTCATTCTACATCGTATTTTACTTTCTTTCAGGAATAACTTGCGACAAGAACGCCTTCCAGTGTAGTAGTGGCCAGTGTTTCCCACAGTACGTCTTGTGTAATGCAGTCACAGACTGTTTAGATGGAAGCGACGAAGTGGAAGCCATGTGCACAAACGGTCAGTAAAATAGTGTTTTTACCTACTGTTTAGCTACCCGGTGACTCAGCAGAAAAGTTAGGCTAATGAATGTCACGTTCACATTTCTTTACTTATACGTACTTATTAATTTTGTTGAATACTGCTACTACTAATAAATTATACTGAAAGTTGATTAAGAAAATCAAGAAGGAATTCAGGGGCGACTGATGATTTGACTTGAAGAGGTGTATATAGTAATCATACTCTAACTGCCCAAGCGTATCAGAACTCCTTACAGTTTGGAGGTACAGCAAATAACGTCTCCTTACTGCTGAACTTGTGTAAGAGCTGATGATACTGTACCTTCGCTTCTAAATTTGTGTAAGTGCTGATGATACTGTACCTTCGCTACTAAATTTGTGTAAGTGCTGATGATACTGTACCTTCGCTACTAAATTTGTGTAAGAGCTGATGATACTGTACCTTCGCTTCTAAATTTGTGTAAGTGCTGATGATATTGTACCTTCGCTACTAAAATTTGTGCAAGAGCTGATGATACTGTACCTTCGCTACTAAATTTGTGTAAGAGCTGATGATACTGTACTTTCGCTACTAAATTTGTGTAAGAGCTGATGATACTGTACTTTCGCTACTAAATTTGTGTAAGTGCTGATGATACTGTACCTTAGCTACTAAATATGTGCAAGTGCTGATGATACTGTACCTTAGCTACTAAATTTGTGTAAGAGCTGATGATACTGTACCTTAGCTACTAAATTTGTGTAAGAGCTGATGATACTGTACCTTAGCTACTAAATTTGTGTAAGTGCTGATGATACCGAATCTTCGCTGCTGAACTTGTGTAAGTATCAGTGGTACCATATTCTCGCTATTGAACTTGTGTAAGTATCAGTGGTACCATATCTTCGCTATTCAACTTGTGTAAGTATCGGTAGTATTGTATTCTCGCTATTGAACTTGTGTAAGTATCGGTGGTATTGTATTCTCGTTGCTGAACTTGTGTAAGTATCGGTGGTATTGTATTCTCGTTGCTGAACTTGTGTAAGTATCGGTGGTATTGTATTCTCGTTGCTGAACTTGTGTAAGTATCGGTGGTATTGTATTCTCGTTGCTGAACTTGTGTAAGTGTCTTTTTATTTTACAAAGTGGATATGTATTGACTAACGTTTCATCGAGGACGATCATAGATGCAATGAGATCTGTTTAAGTAGCGGAAAGGTTCCATTTTTGGTTCGATTGATCAAGTAATACTAGAAAAGCGTGAAGCTTATCTTTATAAGATAGTTATTGTGTTTTTTTAGAACCATATATACTTCCATATAATGTGCATAAACTTTATTTAAAATTAACTAAATAATTATTGTACAAAATGTGCAAGTATACCAAACTTTAACCTTTATTAAAGCTAAAAGCATATGTGTATTTGGTATCATTTCATTAGGCGAAAATTGCCCAAGTAATGGATTCCAGTGTGGCAATGGTCAATGCCGATCAACAGCAATCTTGTGCAGTGGATTAGACGGTTGTGGAGACAACAGTGACGAGAACAGATGTGAAGTCTGCTGTAAGTACTTTAAATGATCAGTGGTCTGGAGACATAAGAATGCTCTGGTATAAACAAAACTACAACAAAAATAAGTTCAAACTGGTTGTAATTTTGTAAGATTGTTTGTAATTTAATTATGCACAAAGCTACACAATGGGCTATCTGTGCTCTGCCCACCTCGGGTATCGAAACCCGGTTTCTAGAGTTGTAAATCCGCAGACATACCGCTGTGCCAGTGGGGGCAAAACTGGTTGTAAAGAAACCTAGCTGTACCCTAGTATGACTTCATCGGACTCTCTGACGTCACAGGTCCATTCCGTTAGTTTGTTTTTTTACAACAAATAAGTATTTCTATCAAGTAATATCAAATATGAATAATAAAAGACTTGAGTATATTATCAAAAAGCCAGGATAAATATCGGTTGGAAACAGTAAAAAAGAATGAAATGTTTGTTTATCGAAAAACAAAAATAAAGACAACAATACAGGATCTCGGTATAAATGGTTTTAACTGTATTTTGTTCTCTCCATGAAAACCATGATCACAGCTTGAATTTTGTGAAATATTTTAAGATGCTTCAAAAAATCATAGTAGTACTAAATTACAAGTTACACAGTCGATATACCCTCGTACGACTGGCATACGATTTTACACCACCCCGAAAAAAAAATACATCAAAATTATTTAACTTAAAAAAATGTTCACTGTATTATGTTATCCTTGAATGAATGAATTACCTAAAATATAGTGTGTAAACATCATCACTGTATTTGTATTATAATGAATGAATTACCCAAAACATCCGTAAAATATAGTGTGTAAACATCATCACTGTATTTGTATTATAATGAATGAATTACCTAAAACATCCGTAAAATATAGTGTAAACATCATCACTGTATTTGTATTATAATGAATGAATTACCTAGAACATCCGTAAAATATAGTGTGTAAACATCATCACTGTATTTGTATTATAATGAATGAATTACCCAAAACATCCGTAAAATATAGTGTAAACATCATCACTGTATTTGTATTATAATGAATGAATTACCTAGAACATCCGTAAAATATAGTATGTAAACATCATCACTGTATTTGTATTATAATGAATGAATTACCTAAAACATCCGTAAAATATAGTGTAAACATCATCACTGTATTTGTATTATAATGAAAGAATTACCTAAAACATCCGTAAAATATAGTGTGTAAACATCATCACTGTATTTGTATTATAATGAATGAATTACCTAAAACATCCGTAAAATATAGTGTGTAAACATCATCACTGTATTTGTATTATAATGAATGAATTATCCAAAACTTCCGAAAATACAGTGTGTAAACATCATCACTGTATTTGTATTATAATGAATGAATTACCTAGAACATGAGTGGCTTATGATTTGCTTATCGGGCTGGAAATCGGAAGGTCTCGTGTTTGAGACGAGGTGTTACCGAACACGTTTTGCACTTTCATCAGTTGAGACGTGAAAATTGAGACGTAAGAGATCTTAAACTGCTTTAAAACATATTTATTTTAATGTTTCATGCATTTACCACTCAGGTTTTCTACCAGGTTAATTTTGAAACAATATGACAATTAAACTGCTTAAAGACACTTAAATATTTGTTTATTGCTTTATGTATCCATTACTTAGCTTTCCACGGGTTAATCTTGAAAAAATACAACTTAAATTGCTTCAAAACTCTTAATCTTCATTTATTGTTCCATTCATTTATCATTTAAATTTCCACAGAGTTATTTATCATGTTGGTTGTTATTTCAGATTGTGAGAAGCCATGAAGACAATGTACAGATCTTGAAGTGCCTGAAGATGAAGATTTTTAATTAATTTTTGTGCTAGTTGGTGAAATATAATTTCATTGCAGCTTTTAAAATGGGTGAAGTGGTATAAAACGTTTTGTTTTAAAACATTCATTGATCATGATATTGTTAAAGGTGCTTGCGTCAAACAAATTTCATTAAAGTCATTTGTGTTATCAGTGATTTTCTTTCTACCAGTTCATGTTAATGTCGTTGTTTATCAAAAAAATATGTATATTGTACTGAGCTAAATGTGTTTTGTCAAACTTGAATCAGTGCTAATAAAAAAATGTTTCGTTGATATATAGAAAAGTATCCTTTTTTTTAATGTACAACTTTTTATCTATTGCCCAAAATGAATTATTAGGGCACTGGATACAATCAACAGCCATTAAAAGTAACAGTGCAGTGATGAAACACTTGTAATAAGATGAGTACACAATACAAATAAGTCTCAGGATAGGGTCCTGGTCACTAAATTATCTAATAATAAAAAATATAATGAGAATATCTAAGTTAAAAAAAAGGAATAATTTTATATTATAGAGAATTATAGTGAAGCAGTTATATTTCCAGTAAAAAGCAAAAGTTGAAATCTCAACCATAAAACAGTAAAATTTGTAACCAGAACATTAGGAATAAACATTAATTGTAACATTCATTCATTTAAAGAAGTACACCTTGGAGGCAGGGGCGATTTCAGGAGCTGGTATTGAGAAGGATGACAAGGAATTTATCAAAAGGTGGGGGAATTAAAATAAATTTAAAGTTAAAGAATTATAAATTTGGTGAATTTTAGAATGTGTTGGTCAAGTCTCAGTGAATTACTTGCTGACTTTTATAACTTTTACTTAAAATAATTAACAACACATTAAACATGTTTTTCTATGAAATATGTACTTTTATTTATGCTAACATCTTCATGAGGGGACTTTCCCCTTGTCCCCCTTACCTACGTTTTTTCTTGTTCCCTTTGTTATCCTATCAGGAACTAAAATAGTGCAATATATTTTAATGCTTGATATACTTGCTAATGATTTTAATACCAAATGATGAAAAACAACATAAGACATTCAACAATACAAAGAGAGAAAACGTATTTTATGTTTTATGAAGTGACTGTAATAAAAATGTAAACATTATAGCTTTGAATAAATAAATAAATAAAATGATAAAATATAATTTACTCTGATTAAATGTTCAGGAGTGGCCTTGTGGATTAGTGTGATCAGATTGGGAATACTTTGAGATTGTGGGTTTTTTTATAGGAGTGATGTCATATCAATTATTTCATTAGAGTTGTAAAAGAGTATGTAGATGTGCAGTAGACTAGCAGCCTCCCCTCTAATTTAACAATTCAATATTTAGGACAAATAGCACAGTTTGCCTTGTGTTACTTTGCGTGAATATCCAAAATAAACAAATATAGCATATGTGAATTAGTACAAGTTCAAATTTATAAATTTTCACACATTTCATTTTGAACACTCCTTTAAGTTTAAAAATAATGTGGATCTATTGATTTCATCCAGTATATTACACAGAACAAGTGCATCATTTCACAGAACTTAACAGTACGGATGTAAATGGCAGAAAACTTTGTTGGTAACAAAAGAGTTCTAGCAGACTGTGAGGTTGAGAAGGTTTTTAAACTTTCATGAGCCATGAAGACATGTCCTTAGGGTCATAGAAAAATAAGAAATCTTGTTTAAAATGTATTAGTTACATTTTTGTTTGCTTTAGGTATATGAAAAATAAGATGATGCATTACATTTACTAACAACTTTAAAATTAAAATTTGGTTTTAGGACAATTTCTTAATTTCTTGTTTAAACATTACTATGGAATTTTAAATAAATTGTTTATTCATTTTGTATTCATTACTGTCAGTTTTGTAATCTGTTTACGTGTTTAGTACAGCTTTAAATTGGTATTTGTTAAACAGCAAACAATCACAGAATGAAACAATTTTAAGAGTAGTTCTTTGGCTATGTTTTAAATTAGATTTTCAACGTAGTTTTTAGTACTTCATACACACTAATTATATACTTTAGTAGCTCAGAATAATCACTTCAGAACCCTTATATATATGTTAAAAATTACATCACAACAGTAAGGTCAAGATCTTTAATTTCAAAGTAATCCAATAATATTTTTTAAGAGTCCATTTATTTTAAAAGACAACATATTAAACAGTATCTGGAAGATATTTTCTTGAAAATTGTTGAGATTATTATTTAAACAATTATATCAGCTGGCTGTATAACAATACACATGTACATCAACTAAAATGTCTGTTGCACATTACAAGTATTATCAGACAAGATATCTTATCATGAAAAGGGAAAATGCTAAAATAAATGATTAGTATCTGTTTTGTGGCTATATTTATAAACCTAAAACAATACAAAAAAACAACAACGGCCATACGGATGCAACACCTATTGGAATATTTACTTATCCATAGTATAAACGTTCACCAGCATTTAAACATTTTTAGCTCTTCAAAATAAGTCATGCATGTTAAAAAATATATTTTCTTGATTTATAAACACTTTGTTAACATTTATATGGCTTAATACACAAGAAAGCTTTATATATAAACATTTAAGGTACATCTAGGTTTCAAGTTTAGTAATTATCAAGCAATAAAGGATTAGATTTAATATAATAAATTTTGATATGAATTTAATATTCAAGGCAGTGAATTTTCTAAATTATCAAGTAGAAAACAAGATTTCACAAATAAAATTCAAGTTATTCTGTTTTTATTTTTTTTGCTAGGAGTAGTTTCAATAAAAATTATAATAAAGGAATGAATGTACACTGAGTGGTCACAAGTAAAT